ACATTGTAAAATGACAAAAATATATGTAGAGGAATGTGAAATTAAGATAGCATTCATATTTTTAAAAACCAACCTGTATGTATCTTTATATTTGGAAATGTGTATATTGGTATGTTTTTCTTCATAGAAGGATAATGGAGTGAAAAGATTCACAACATGCAGTTAACATTGCCTACCTCTGGAGAAAGAGTATTATGAATTATTACTATTGCTGTATATATACACACATGCATAATGTTACATATTATATATATTTATGTGTGCATGTGTATGTAGAGAGAGAGAGAAAGAAGCAGGGTTGGTGAGGTTTGCATATGAAGTTGATTTCTGAAGGTTCCTATCTGGAAGGCTGGTGTGGCATGTGAGCAGTGATAGAGTTCTCTCTGAGGGTGTATGTGTGAGTGTGTGTGTGTGTTCCTAGAGGGTGGTGTCAAGTAAAACTTAGTCACCCTCAGCTTTCATCTAGCTAACTCACAGCCAGGGAGAAATAACTTTTATACCTGAACCATTTCAATATTTTTTCTGCCAAGCACTCATATACAGTATAGCCCTTACCCTGAGGGGCTAAGACTTTAGTATTGGACAAGACAACTGTTCAGGAGTCACTGAAAATGTGCCACTCTCCTCCACTGCCTCAGAGTTTGTAGTCTCTAAAACAGGGATCTTCAGGTTGCTTCTGATCAAGCCCCTCATCAGTTAAGAAATAGTAAGTTTAGTTATTTAAGTATAAATTATATACATGTGTACTCCTGTACTAATACACTAAATTATTAGAAATGCTTTATTGAATCAAAAGAGTGTTAAAGCAAGAGAAAGAAATGGAAGTTCTAATCTTAGTATTCCCTTGCTGCCCCTAAACACTCCCCGCCCTGGAGACGGTACTCTGAGGCATGAGCAGACGGGGATGGAGCTGGCCATTGACCAGGGACTCTTTCCCACTCACCTCCTTATCTGATACCCTCCTACGAGGAATGCACAATCTCTGTGCAGAAGACACTGTGTCCTCACAGCTCTGGTTCTTTGGTCCATGTGCTGAAAACTTTTCATGGCCATCTTCGACTTTTGAAAGAGAGGAAGAACTACTTTTATATTCCCAGGAACCTTGGGATCAGCATAGAAAGGGCTGATGGACTTAGGGAGGAGGGAGGCCCTGTGGTTAGTTCCCAGACGTCTCCCAACGCAGTGGAAATGCCATCCATCAGGAAGGGTGAGGGAGTGGTTCTTACTGGCAGATCTGGGACAGTGGTGTTCAGAGGGTAGCTCAGGCTCATGTTTTCTGATTATACCCTTTCATTGTGAGAGAGATGACTGGGGGCTCATGGCTGCCTTGGGCTTCCCTGGTTCAAGCAGAGTCCCAGGAGTGTCTGGAAGTTTCCTAATTTTGTCCTGAATTCCTTAACCAGTCCAGCCAGGGACCTGAATCCAGAGGACTGGGATCTCTACTCAAAGATGCATTTGCATTCTTCTCATTGAGTTTCCCTCTAAGGTTTTTAAGGAAAGCTTACTTTGTTCACTCGCAAAGAAAGATGGGACCACCAGCAGGAGGCTCACTGCTAAACAGGGGCCTGACTAGAGAAGCCAGCACTGAAGTAGGGCACCCCCAAATAGAGAAACCTCTCTGAGGGCACAGCAGAGCAGCTTCTAGCCCTGCTCCATGGTGGTCATCCCAGATACGAACCACAGGGCAGTGTTCCCCTAGCACATTTGTTCATTGTTTAGACCGTTCCTTTCTGGCTTCATTTCTTCATTCATTCCCTTGGGACATGTGTTAGTGAAGCCACTGAGCAACTTTTGTGAGCCTGCATCCTACCGAGAACTCATCTAGGTGCTGATGGTGAGGAGGACTGCCTGCAGGAGGAGAGTCATGACAGTGGGACTGGAAGCCAGCTCACAGCTCAGTGACACTGCATGTGGTCATCTCCTAAACATGTGTCTGCACCCAGATTTATTCCTCCTGGACTTTTCCTTTGAACTCTGAACTGGTTTAGCCAATGGCCCACTTGACATCTTCACTTACACATCTCATAGTGTCTCGTCCATAACACACCCAAAGTGGACTGCCGATTCCACCTCTGCTCCCATCCCCAACCAGCATGTTCTTCTGTAGTCTTCACCATCTCAGTAAACAACTTGGCAACTAAACAACTCATCCTTCTGTACTCAGGCTCAAAACCAAAAGTCATTCCTGACACTGCTCTCTCATATCCTACCAGCATTCTATCAGCAAATCCATTTGGCTGTATTTTCAAACTGTATCCCAAATCCAAGTCCCTCTCCCCTACGTCTTCTACTATCACCCTGATCCAGCCATTTTATTTGAGATTTTTGTGGTAGCCCCCAACTGTCTCTCTGCACCTGCCTTGCCTCTTGTAATCTATGAGAAGCACAGTAGCCAGAGCAATCCCTTTATAAGTCAGACCCTCTGCTCCAAGCCTTCTCTCCAGTGGCCTCCTCTCATGCAGAGGAAAAATCCAGTCTTCTGTTAACTGCCAGAGCCTATTTGATGTGACCCCTGTTAGCTCTCTGACCTTAACTCCTGCTGTTCCCTCCTGGCTTACTGGTTTGTCCCTTTAGAGTTTCTCAAATAGGCTGAGCACATCCCACATCAGGGTCCTGGTATTTGCTGTTTTTTCTTCTTGAATGTTCTTCCCAGATAACTCACTGCCTTACTTCCTTCAGGGTCTGCTTATCAGAAAGACCTTGTTTGACCACTTGGATTCAGAGGGAAGCCATATCCCCAGCCTTCTCTATCCCTACATCCTGCGCCCTACCCCAGCACTCAGACCTCCTGCCATATTATGTATTTGTCTATTGTCTTTCTTCCCCAACTAGAATGTTTGAAACTGCTATATCTCTGGTGCCTAGAAATGTGTCTAGTTCTGCTAGACACGTCGCACACAACAGGCACACAGTAAACATTCACTAGGATGAATGAATGAAATTATGAAGAACTGACTATGTGGTGGGCCCTAACCCAGAAGTATTCACTGAAATAATTCACCCTCAAAACTATTACCCTATGAGGTGGGGATTATTATTGCTATTTTTCAGAGAGAAACCAGAATTAAAACCCAGGTCTATCTGCCTCCAAAGTATCCTCTTCGCATGACAGCACTCTGGGAAAAGCCAGGCTTTCCTCCAAGAGCCTTCTGTCTACCATCAATGGTATGCTGGGTACTGAAATGTACACAAACCCAGCTAGAATAAGGGCTACTATGTGCAAAGGTCTTTCCAATTCTACCCACATTCTTTTTTTTCTATAGTCATTTATTGATTTATTTATAATTTTAAAATTTCAATAGCCTTGGGGGTTAGCCTAAGTGAAGTAACTCATGCTCTTACTTTACTTTATTTCAACTGTATGGCTGTGAGGTAGGGAACCATGAACCAGTATTTTATACCATTTTTTTTTTCCCGGGAAAGAAAGGCTTAATGGGTTTACCAGATGTCTCTAGGTCAGTTAACTAGTCCTTTGGAAAGCCAAGTCTCCACTGCAGGTCTCTGACCCCAATTGCAGGGTGGGGGAGGGACGGGGGTGGCAGGTGGCAGGATCTACCCATGACCCTATCTGTGCTAAACACTAGATCAGGGATGCACTAGCACCACCTTATCCCTACCATATGCAAGCATCACCCAGAGAGATCCTCAGGATTCTGCCCCACACAGTACTGCAAGAGGGCACAGTGGACAACCAAGTGGAAACTGAGCTACAAGCTACGGTCCCACCCTTCCAACAAAGAGGAAACTCCTTCTGGACTTCAACCCAATGTGCCCTTGCATTGCCCTCCCTTATCTCAGCCCACTCCCAACCTGAATTTAGAGCTGGACTTGTGCATTTCTCTGTTTCCCCCAAGAAGGCTCCATGGCACTTGGGTCCAACCACCATCAGCCAAGGAGACCTGAAGATGGCAGATTCTGGAGGACCTCAATCTCAGCCATGCCTTTTACTCCACCCTCTGTCCTTTGGTACCCACGCAGTCCCTCCTGTCCCATCTGGGGCTGAGAAACAGGACATATCAATTGCAGCAAACTGCTACATCCACATAAACAGGGTGTTCAGCATGTTTTTGTAACACCAGCACCTGTTTGTTTAGTCATGCTGGGCCAGGTGTTTCAGCACAAAATACAAATTGAATTCCTCCCCTCAGAAGGGCTTGCAGTCAGATAACAGACAAGGCAAATAACTGCAACACCATTGATACATACTATATGGAGAGATGGACGTCTATTCCAAGACCTCAGGAGGTGGGGATCAGGTGCCGTTGGGCCCCATAGCAGCACTGTCAGCTGGAGTGACACAACGGTCAGGAACTGACGAGGACCCTGCTCCCTCGGTCATCTGTCAACAAAGCAGGGAGAGTGTCCTGGATGTCCTTGGATTGCAATCATGAGCATCCAAGTTACCCAGAGTCCGAGCCTTAGTTTCCCTAACTGTAAAATTGGGAGATGGTTAGTAAATATCCTCATAAAGATGTCCAAGAATTCAAATATACACCAATATCTGGAAAATAGTTTGGCTTCAATAAATGTTCATTTTTTTCACTTAATTTTTAAATTTTAATATTAAGATTGTGTCCCAAGCTGTTATCCCTTCTTCAGATAATTATACACAGAAAACAGGAATACAGAGAACGTCCAATCTCTGAACCACCTCAGCTGACCTGAAACCGATTTTCCAAATTGTAGTAAACACAAATGCATGCTCTCTACTCATGCCAAAGCTGCATAAGTATCAGCTGGATCCCAGTTCACAAACACATGCAGTGCAGCTTCCCAGGGAAGTCACAGTGGGACGGGAGTGGAGCCTCTTACCCCAAGTCCTGCCCCCTGGAGCCACCCACCACCTCAGCAGAGACCCACCCATTTCCTTCAGACCAAAGACAGAGGGTGGGTACGGGATCCGTCAAGTCCCTCTGAAGACCCTCCCCCACATACCACCCAAAGCCACCTATGGCCCACCCAGGGAGTCCTAATGACACCCAGCAAAGTTAGCAACCTACCGGTGGAGCATCAGGGCTGCCTGAGATGTTCTCCATTCGCGGCAAATGATCTTATTTTCTGAAGTAGCAGCTTTCTATTGAAATTCTTCATCAGGCGCTGTCATGAGGAATTTCCCCCCCTTTTCTCTTTCTTTCTAACTGGTGAAATTGACAGTCTGCCTACATTAACCAGGCATTCATTTGCATGATCAAAAGCAGATTTGTTCCAAGATGCAATGTTCTGCCTTCCCTTCCAAGCACAGGCATCTCCAAGGAAGGCGAGAAAAATCAGAAACAGAGCGCCTCCGCTGTGCCCCTGAGCTTGGCCAGGAGTCGGCCTCGTCTGGGAGCAGGTGGAGTGGGGGCCCTGTGAGGAGCAGTGGGGGGAGGGCAGCCCATGTGGGAGGTGGAAAGCAGCACCTGGCAGCCCAAGGCGCTGGCACAAGCCCCAGCACAGGAATATCCAGCCTTTGGTGACAGATTATAGTAAGAGGAGCATGCAGGAGTTTCCAGTGTGTGTGTGATTTCCTGAAAGGAGGCACTGCTGCCTTAAATCCCCAGCACTCAGGGATGGGAGGGTGTTAGGGTCTGAACCCAGGGCATCGCGGGGACCTGGATTCAGAAAAATGGGTCACAATTCTTAGCTTTAGCCACATGATGTAGGAGAGTTGCTGAACTGGTCTGAGCTGCAGTTTTTTAGCCTTAGAATGGACACAGTGAGACCCAGCCTGTCTGTCTCTTGCAGTGTTATAAGAAGTGAAAGAGGTATCTCCCAACACCCAGAGAGCCCTGTAGGTCTCATGGCTCTAGGCTGCCCTCGCACACTGTAAACCCTCCACCCTGGAGCCGTAACCCCACATTACCCCTCACAGCTGACGCTTACATGCCACCTTGTCTGGTTCTCCCCGGGGACCCTGTGAGCTGGGATTACGGTTCAGAGAAAGCTGAGGATCAGAAGGATTGACTTGTCCCCCCCGCCCCAAAATAATAAAATATTGTATTTCATGACTGCATTGGTATAAAGAAGAATGTAAAACAGGCTGGATTCATTATTATACTTTCATTATTATTATGTTTTTTCTTCTGATTTTAAAAGAAATTAGAAGGAAAATACTTCTGTGAGTTCCTAAAAGTGCAGTGAGCCCTTGCCCCTGAGCCAGCTGTCCTTGATGGAGAAGTAAGCCCTTGTCCCTTAACACCATAATGAGCAGTGAAGTCAGGAGTCATTCAAGCATTAATCCATGCAACATCTCTCCAACACAGATTTATTCAGAGGCTCCTGTGTGCTGGACTCTCTCTAGGCTTTAGAGGGAACAGTTGTAATCCAAACAGATAAAGCCTCTGACTCGGAGAGTTCATGTTGTCGTGAAAGGACACAGACGATGTAAGTAAATAAAGCATTTCAGATCTTAGAAGTGCGCTGAAGAACACTGAAGTGGGGCCATTGTAGAGGAGGTGATGGAATGGGGAAAATACTTTAGGGGCAGTCATGGAAGGCTTTTCAGAGGAGGGGACTTCTGGACTGAGGCCTGAGCAATGGGGAGCCAGCGATGGGGATCGAGGTACAGAGCAAGTGCAAAGGCCCTGGGGCAGGAGTGGTCCTGGCTGTTTGGGGGTCACAGGGAGGTCAGTGCTAGGAGACCCAGTGGCCAGTGGAGGGACTGGGAAGAGAGAAAGTCAGAGGGATGAAGATGACCAGTTATGAGATCTTGCAGGCCATCAGAAAAGTGACTTTATTCTCTTTGCAGTGGGCAGTTACTGGAATGTTTCAAGCTAATAATAGAAGGTGATTATATTGATTCATTTGTTTAAAAAGGGACATTTCTGGCAGTTATATGGAAAATTGACTATGGAGATGTGACACAGGAAGTAGAGATCAGATTGGGCTCTGTTGTGGAAATCCAGGGATTGAGCTAGTAACTTAAATTAGGGTTGCAGACATGGATGGTCACAGTTAGAAATGATCAGATTTGGGATGTATCTTGAGTTGGCAGCTGACTATATGAGTTGGGAGTTCAGTAGAGAGGTCAGGGCTATAGATACAGATTTGGAAGAAAACCAAGAAAATGCGATTATCACAAAAGCCAAGAAAAGAAAGCATTTCCAAAAGGAAGCAAAGGTCAAATGTCACAGAGTCAAGAGAGATGAGGGCAGAGATTCGACTCTTGTAGGTCATGGGAGACTTTGATGAGGGCCATTTCCGTGGGGTGATGGGAAGGAAAGGCTGATTGGAGTAGGCTGGGGGAAGAGGGGAGGTGAGGACATGCTCACATTGCTTCCCAAACCCACCCTCTCTCCACTGAAAGATGCTCTCCACTGGATGCAAACAGTCACCCACGATTTGCAGAGCACTTTGCTCATTCAGCAGCTGTCCCCACTGACTTCACCAAGCTCTGCTGCATGGCAGGAATTATGTCATGTCCATTTGGAATCCTTAGCTCCTGTCCAGCACTAGGTTAGTCTTCAATTCACGTCCCTCAAATGAACAAAGGAGTGTTGTGTCTCCATCTGACTCAGAGCTCTAGAGAAGTCTGGGGCATTTGTTTATTCATTCACTCATCCATTCACATAGTCTTGCAAGAAGCAGGTGAACTCTGGTAGGCTTCCTACTTTTCCGGTCGGGATTCTGCTCTGTGTCTCCTTCTTCCCAAATCTGTGATGTTACAACCATTTTTCAAAAGTTGAAGCATAATCAATGAGCAAAAATTGACTACAGGCTCTCTGTGTAAAAAGCTTTCCTCCCCTAAGCCCCTGCCAAGAGCAGCATCTCTGCTTCTGCCCCAGTGTGGTGGAGGAGATGTGTTGTAAACTAGGACAGCAGCAGGGGTGGACTGGAGGTGGGGGCAGGTGGCACTCAGGAGGAAGATTACAGGAACAGGTTACAGCAAAATGTAGGGGAAGAGGGGAATGATTGTAGGAGCAATCAGGAAATACCTGCGTTTCATTCAGGTAATTGAAGGCTAGTCTTAGTCACTAAGGATAGGGAAATAGCGGGAGAAGAAGGTTCTAGAGGTGAGTAAGAACACATATGGATAACAAAGTTAAATTGTGCCTAGGTTGAGTTTGAGGGGTCTGAGAGATTTCCAGGTGATGTGAGGCATTTGGATATGAAGGTGTGAGGTTCAAGCTGAAGAGAGACTTGGGAATCATTAGCTTAATAGGTCATTCTTGAAGCAAGGAGAGGAAATGGCCCCACCCCACAAGCATTCGTGGACAGAAGGGGAGGAAAAGGGGACAGAAGTGGCAGCTGGGAGCCTCGGCTTTCAAGAGTAGACAGATACAGCAGAAGGGGGTTCCAGAAATTAGCCTGAGGCAGAGCCAACTAGGAGGAGGAGATGGAGAGGTGGGGGAATGGGGCATCTGCTGGTGGACCTCTGCAAGGCCAACAGTGACCTTGATGGAGGTTGGGGCAGCCAGACAGCCATATGGAAAAGAGGCTGTAGGACAGTTGGAGCCCACCATGTAGACATAGTTTTGGAGTGCACATCTGGCTGAGAGCACCCGGATGAAGCGGATGGAGGAGAACCTCCTGTTGGGGACCTCCAGGCAGGCACGTTAGCTCTAGGTGGGGGTGGGACTCATGATGAGCTGCACACTGAAGGTCCGAAAGAGCCAGGGGAAGGTTTGCCCAGCGAGGGGCTCCAGGGCTGTGGGCAGCAAAGGCTGAGCCTCAGAGAGAAGGAGGGCCCTCAGTCCAAGAGAAGGATGGGCCATTCCCTGAGGAGAGGGCAGTGTGGCCTGCAGAGTGCGCTGGCCTTGGGGTTTGCAGCAGGAGACAGGGCCAGGGGGAAGCAGTGCTGAGGGGCCAGTCGGCTCCTTACTGAGGCCCTGCAGTGCCTGGGGCCAAGGCAGGGACACTTGGCCTGGCCTGCTTTGTGCTCCGTGCTCTCTGGCAGATCACATTTGCAAACCAGAATGGGGGAGCCCTTCTCCCAGGCCCTGCCTGAAGCAAAAAAGCAAAAGGTAGGGTGAGGCTCTCCCAGCCACCCAGCCCTCTGTTCTTTCTGGCTTCTCCCCTGCTCCTCTGCCCTCATCACTCCATTGACCCCGCGGACCTCACTGCACCCCCTCACCCAGCTGTCCGCATGTCTGAACCCCACCCTCTCCAGTCTAGACTCAACCATCCTCCACGCTGCCTAACCCAGCTCCCCAGGGCACAACTGGGACCCTCACCAGCCAGCAGCCCCCGCCCCGTCCCCTTTCCGGCTGCCTGCTCTATGCACTAATCTTGTTCCTTATGGCCCCAGGACAGTCCATATAACATAGATGTTCTGGCTCACAGAAGTAGAAGCCCCATGCAAGCAGAGAACAGCCCAGATGTTCACTGATGTGTCCCAAACACCGGGAGCTGCTCGTGGCACACTCAGGCACGCCGAGGAGAGTTGTCCAAGGGACAGTAAGATGAACAACAAGGGCCTGCAGCCATGTGTTCTCATCATGTCTCTCAGACACCACTCGGCGTGAACATAAGGGCGTTTCTCACCTGTCTCGCTGATTTTCTTTTTAATCATTTACTAACTAGAGGGGAGAGATAAGTCATATTTATTGTCGCCCATGTGTCAGCCTCTTTATAATCATTAATGCATCTCATTCTAACATCAACCCCATTTTGTTGACCCAAAATGAAGGCACAGACAGGCATATCCACTGAATACGTTTGTTCATTGGAGGTGAGTCATCTGACGCACAGAACAGAGCTGGATTTGAACCTGAGTCTCTCAAATGCCAAATTTCACATTCAATCCACTGGGCCCCGAGACATTCAGGTTGATGCTGAGGCCCTGCTCAGTCCCTCAGCATTTCCAAGGGGCTCTTCCTTTTCATTAGAATGTGTTCATGGCAGTCCTTCAAAAGCACACAGCAAGGACTGGCCAGTTCATGACAGCCCTTTGTGTAATTCCTGCCTGTAACAAATCTACAGTCTAAGGCAGACCCCGCCTGTAATTACAGCTCGTGGAAGTCAGCCCGTGCAGTCACACGGTGGTCCCTGCTCCCGCCTGCTGACTCTCTAATTAAACTGGCAATGGCATCTGTGCTCAGGGCCTTGCCAAGCATGAAGGAATGTGTGTCCCAGGTCTTGCTGAAAATGTGCCCCTTCACATTCCCTTGCAACCCAGTGGGGCTTGGGAATTTATCTCCCACTATTTGGGAGACAACTTTTGGATCGTCTCCAAAATATTGACCAGTCAGCAAGGCTGCACCCAATTAGTGTCTGAGATCCCCATAAAATGTGGAACTCTAATCTCAGTCTCGTGGGAGCATAAACTGGGCCCCATCCCTCCAGCTACCTGGCTGTGAAGCTGTTCCAGACCATTTTATGCAAGAGGGACTTCTTTTTGCAATGCCCAGGGGCTTGGTGTCCTAGCACTCCTAAAAGATCATCTTAGAATGAGTTTCCGCAGAACCCATGAAGGAGACTCCATCCTTGATTGGGGACACTCCTTTTTCTTTTCTTTTCTTTCTCTCTCTCTCTCTCTCTTTCTCTTTCTCTTTCTTTCTCTCTTTCTCTCTCTCTCTCTCTTTCTTTTTTGAGAGGGAGTCTCACTCTGTTGCCCAGGCTGGAGTGCAAGCTCCACCTCCCGGGTTCATGCCATTCTCCTGCCTCAGCCTCCTGAGTAGCTGGGACTACAGGCGTGTGCCACCACATTTGGCTTTTTTTCTTTGTGTGCGTGCGTGTGTGTGTGTGTGTGTGTGTGTATTTTTATAGTAGAGATGGGGTTTCGCCGTGTTAGCCAGGATGGTCTTGATCTCCTGACCTCATGATCTGCCTGCCTCGGCCTCCCAAAGTGCTGGGATTACAGGTGTGAGCCACCGTGCCCGGCCCACGGGCCACTCCTTTTTCTAGCAGGGGTTTGGAAAAGGGATTCCAAGTGTTTGGACTCAAGCCCAGTGGGGACAAAGCTCAGCTCAGGCCTCTCTATGACATGGGCTTTCCCTGACCTGTCTGAATTGGACTCAAGGCTGAGTCTACAAATATCTAACAACAATGACAATAGACACAGTGCTA